TACTCCTTCGGCGTCGTGCTTCTTGAGGTGCTATGTGCAAGACCGGCTATTATTAGTGGAGATCCCCAGCTTCCAATGGAACAGGTGAACTTAGCAGAATGGGGACTTCTCTGCCACCGAAAAGGATTGCTTGAGACGATCGTGGATCCATCAATAAAGGATCAGATCAATCCCAACTCACTGAGGATATTTGCGGAGACGGCAGAGAAATGTCTACTGGAAGATGGTGCAAATCGACCTAGCATGGACACAGTGCTGTGGGACTTGGAGTATGCTTTACAGCTCCAGCAAACTGCGGTATATAGAGAGCCTCACGAAGACAGCAACATTGATGCTACCTCCGGTTTGCGATTGGTCAACGTCCAACATCTCCCTTCACTTAGCCTGCAAATTGAGAGAGACGACGTGCCCATTTTGAGGGACAGTACCACAGAAGAGTCTTTCCTATCGGCCAGTAAAGTTTTTTCACAACTGAGAATCAACCATGCAAGATAAGGGCTTTCAATTCTCTTTTAAATTGGTATTTAAATATAATATTATATTTTATATTGTGATCAATTTATCACAATTTAAAATAAAATTTTTGTTTGAAAATTTAATCATTTGTTACAAGATTGATTTTCAAAAGTGATCTAACTAATGAGATGCATTTCATATGTTTTAATTTTTTATTTTAACCTTAATTTTATTACTATTTACATAAATAAGATGTAATTTTTAATAATTTTTACATAAATTTTATTTTTAGTGTCGACACCAGTTGTCAAGTGTCAACATTATGCTTTAAGTCTTTGGAAAATGGGCCTGGGTGACGCTCGAACCATAATTGTCGATACCAATACTGTAGTCTCGACACCCTAAGAGTTTTCAACACCATTTTTGACACTGCCCCACTCATTCTCTAATAGAATTGCTTTAGCCTCCATAAATCTTCATTCAAAATCAAATTTTTAAAAACTTTTAAAAGTTAAGGATTGAAATTTTATATTATTAAATTATTTTTTTATAAAAATAAATAATTTTTAAATTTTATATTGAAATTAATTTAATTTTTAAATGAATTTAATTCATTGATTCACTTAAATTATTTGAGTTATATTATTTAAGTAAAATTATAAATAAATAATTTTAATATTTAATTAATCTATGATAACTTTTATAAAAAAATATTTAATTTCCATCGTCATATTACTTTATTAATACGGTTGTAGAGTAAAATTAACTTGTCAGTGACTGTTTCCGGAGCAGTACTGACTTGACTCCCGACTGAATATCATTTCCATTCTCTTCATCTTCATCCTTCGAGACCCTTATAAACCCATTTCCAGTCTGTTATCATCCAACGAGAAACGCCACAAAACTCAATCAATCCTAAAGGGATCATCAATGTTGGAGGAAATGGAAGATTA